TATAATAAATGTATACAAATACAAATAACACATTCATACACTTTTCTTTTCGGAAGTTTTATTCAGCTATTGAATGTCTGTATTCCTGTTGTTGTTTTTTAACAAATTATATGAACCCCCAATGTATGGTTGGTAAAATAAAGTTATTATATAACATATATCTGTGTATGCAGTTGACCTATACTGTCATTGCATGAAGAAATAACCCTGTTTTACATCCTGTTCCTGTTTTGTTTTTACTTTGATTTTTCATATTTACACGTTGGTAGCGCTTTCTATAGTAACTATTTTAGCTCAGTCTCTTTTTTATTTCAATTTTATTTTCATGCAGATGTATTGAAAGTATTGTGTATGTATGCAGTAAAATACTTAAAATTAAGACAACTATAAGTAGATGCAAATAAAACTAGAATTTTCTTGCTTTTTTTTTCAGCTGCAGATATCTTTACGGCTTAGTTTCTTGTATTTTATAGAAGCTTGTTTGATATATTTTATTGACAATAAAATGAGTATATAATTTTTATTGATTTTGGCGTCCCAGAAATGTCTACTATCTCCCCTAACTGCTAAATTTGAGCCTGTATGTAGTATAGTTTTCTATAAATACTTCAGAGAAAAGGGATATTAAAACTGCGTCAGTTAATTTGCAATTTAGGGAACTAACAAGTAAGTACATTTTACCTTAGGTAGAACGAGACTGACTAGTCATAAATTTGTTGAGTGGAGGCTTAATTAAGAGGTTTATTTGTAGATTGGCGTCTGATATATGAAAATATCTTGAAGTGTAGCCAAAACTAGTGAAATATTTATTCTAGCTTTTGCTAAAATTCAGGCGCTTAAAAGGCAGTGAAACTTGTGTTGCATCCATGTGATCTATGATGATTTCAAATGACGAGTGATAGGCCTACAACAGTACAAGACTATCATATAAATATTCAAAATCAAGTTAGTTTAGAATACACATGCAGATCTGACTTCGCAGAATTAGTGCCTAAAGCTGAGTTTATGTTTTTCTATCATTAGTGTGAAACTGTAAATAAAATGCTTTAATGAGTTTTCTGGTGTATCCTATATGTCGAGAGCCAAATGATAATGTTGGTAAAATCATATTATGTTATTAATTCTATTTACCGTGCATGGTGGTGGTGATGTTGTACCAGTACCACAAGCCTGCTTGAGCGTGCAGCAAAGTTACCATGCTACCGCAACCCACGATTCGAGTTCTCTATAAAATAGTCTGTTTATTTATCTATGCTAGAGCTTATCCTCTTAAAATCATAATTTTTTTTTTCAAGATAAATTTCTGGTACTTATAGAAGCACTTCCATATGTACAATTAAGTATAATGTTTAGTAAGGATTTTGAACAGACGCATCGCAATGCACGCTGTTTAAAGAGTATATTTATTCTACGTCCCTTAAGGTTTTTGAACTTAAATTTTTAGGGATCATCTTTTTATTTCAGTGTATTATATTTCACCGAAAAGTTTTAATGCTTGTTCGTACACGTGAGAAAACCAGGAAGAAGACCCCGTGTTTCATCGTGTATAAAGTAACAAGAGAGCCATAGTTGAGACACACCACAATATGCTTTTCTTGCTCTATGTTCTTGGTTGTTAGATTATGTCCATGCTTAACATCATAGTGTATTGTAAATCTGTACATTATTAACCCGCGTCTGATTACATACAAAAAATTAATCGTAGCATGAACTGAAAATGTTCAATATAACGTTGACAAATCTGTTTTTGAAACATTACAGAGACCTGCGTTAATATTCCGTTATTCTCATAGTAGTGCTTTTCTTGGCTTCATTAAGTAAAAATCAGAAGTTGTAATAAAACCTGTAATAATTTCCAACGTTCGTAATCATTTCGTTATAGTGTTGAATACAGGATTATTTTTTCATTTAAGAGATTGACAAGCAACTAATAGTTTCCACTAAGCTGTCTCATAACATTATTATACATACTCCTTCAAAATTAGTTTAATACTGTTATTAGATAACCATACTCATTAAAGTGATTGTATTAATCTTAGACAAATCATACTGATTCTTAATACTAGGTTTGTCACACTACGTTTTAAATACAATCGTTAGTATTAATTTTTGAAATGAGTCAATCCATCTGAACAAATTATTTTACAAACATTGAAAATTTGAAAATATAAAAGAGCATGACAGTTGTAATAAGTTTTCTTTATTATTATTATTATTAAAGAACTCAGAGAATTTTGAATCAAACCCTTCATTCCATGCATAAGTCTGAGAAATACCAGAGGCTGCTATGTAAGTGAAATGCGTCTCATTACCAAACCTGCTGTTAATGATGGCAGAGGTTACTAACCGTGTTTCCTCAGAGCCCTGTAGGCCAAAGCTCGTTTCCTACAACCACAAAAGTGTGACATCTCTTTTGGCCCGCTGAGATTTGAAGACACTATTTCCGTCTAAAGTCTAAACGAAGAACGTATCACGTACTCTTCATGGTTACTGATGGACGGAGAGACTAATTATAATTTATAGTACTACTGCTTATGTGATTTTAACTTTTAAGCTAACATTTTATGTAACTAACGTGAACTGTCTGCTAAGAAAGATTAGCGTGGAGTTTAACTTTAAGTTTAATTAAATATAACATCACCTTATCTCCCTTTCCTGAATTTAGCTAGAAATATATTCTATCACTATAACTTATAAATGTAATTTTTTTAAAAACGTACTGGTGCTATAGCCTACAGTGCATACGCATCTGGTTTGTTTACTTTTTAACTTATAAGTGTTTATATATAATATAAATCTTAATACAGTCTAAGTTACAATGTGCAGGAAATATTTCAAAATTTTGTAAGAATAGCTTTCCTTAGGATTATTTTGTTTAATAAACAAGTAAGGATTAAATTGTATATTTCAAATATAGTGTTCACACTACAAACATATATTTTGTGTGTTATACTTATAGTAAATGTAATTTTCGATGGCGTAACTAGTAAGATGAATTAGCCATTTTATGCTTTACACTGTTACGTCACCGTTTGTTAATTGATTTTTCCGTAACTTCGTTCCAACGAAGCTTTAACGACACAAGTCTTTACTTAATAAAACTGGTTTATTCTTTCCGAATATAACTCTGCGATACACTTAATCTCAATACTCGCGCTAAAACAACACTGTAACGAACGAACGTTAACTTCAACAATACCGTGTGACTGCAGTTCAGTTACTCACTATCTACACCTTACCGCGTCACGTTGTCCCCTCTTATATATATCCGCCTACCCTATATCTAGTAAGAACTTGAACATTCACCAAAGTACATGATAGTTCTAGAAACGTTGCGTCATAGTAGTCATGTGACTCGCTGACGCAACACTGTCCCCTCCTTAATATTGTTCGTCCCGAACAATAACCACATATAATAAACCAATAACAATTAACAATAACTTAATTAACTGTACAGAATTACAAAGACAAAATTGCAGTTCGACAAAATCT